TGGCGGCCGCGGCATGTGGCGGCCCAGAAAGGCATCCCGCAGGACCCCTGGTGATCCTGGGGATCTGACGGCCACGGTATGTGGCGGCCCACAAATGGATCCCAGCGGGGCCACCGCTCGTCCTCGGGATCTGGCGGCCGCGGTATGCAGGGTGGGCGTGTCGGGAGGTCTGCTCTCTAAGGCTAACAGCCCAAAGATGTCGGGTGGGGAACTATCAAGCAGGCCCTGCCCCTGGCAGACAGAACACCTCACACCCGAATATATATTCAACACTACACGTTGGTAATCCCTGGGTTTGGTCAGGGACTGTTTGACGGCCCCTTTGCCGCCCGGCTACCAGCAGGGCAGGACCAGAATGGCTCCAGGGATTCAAGGAGGTAATGCTGTGCTGTTAACCACTGTCTCGTTCGCAAAGCTGGCACTGGACACGTGGACGCACCATTCGTACGTCCCAGAGCTTGACGATGCCGTCGGAATCGCACGAGGCGATGGTGTCGCCCTGAAGAGATCATTACAAAATGTCCCTCCCCACACTGCGGCAAAGCCCCCGTCCTTTGACGAGCGAACAACACGCACCCATACCCATGTATGGGACGGAGGCGGCTACGTGTGCGTGTTGTTGGATGGGGGTCCCCGCTTGAACGGGAGCGCCCCCGGATGTGCGACAACCCGCACCCATACCCATAGCCAGTTCTCCTCCCAACGTCCCCCCTATGGGTATGGCTGTGTTCTTCGTTCGTCATCCATAACATCCGACACGCTGCTGGACAACACAAATACTCAAGTCCACGCTCGCAACACAGTGAACAGAAACAAGCGCGGGACCCATGCTGCGCGGCTGCGTGTATCGAAATGGGGGTCTCTCTCATGTACTGCGCGCCGCGGCAAAGAACGAATTGGAGCTGCATATGGGCCGTCGTGCGGGGCATGATGTATACGAAACGCAACTTGCCAAACCCTGGCGGGGACGCCATGCGCGGATGTTCCGTCTGGGGCCGCAGGTGGAGACCCCTGTGGGGCACGATCTGTGCGAGAGGTGCGCCAGATTGGGCGCAACGCGGACGCCCCCTCTGGGGCCGCAAATGGAGAGCAACAAAAAACCCTTATGATAAACACCCCGGCAAGCGAAGCCGTTGAGTCAACGCATCCAAGAAAGGAATAGAACAGGGCAGGACTGCTGAGTAGACGCCCAGGGACGTTTAGTCATCGCCAAATCTGGGGGTCGGGGTGGCTTCCCCCCCCCCTTGAGCCCCAGAAAGCTCCCTTCGGGGGGGGGGGGGGGGCACGACGACGTGCGAGGGCTGTGCCTAGACTGGGCGGAGCGACGCCACTCGCCGGACGCCCCCGCTCTGGAGCCGTGGCGCGGAGCTCCCCTGTGGGGCACGATCCCCCCGTCGGGGCTGCGCGCCGAGCCGGGCAAAAGGGCGGCGGCAGGAGGCGGGTTCCCCGGAGGCACGACGTGTTTTGACTTGCTCGGTGCGGGGAGCGGCCTCCTGCTCCTCCTGCTCCTCCTCCTCCTCCTCCTCCGCTTCCTCCTCCTCCTCCTCCTCCTCCTCCTCCTCCTCCTCCTCCTCCTGTATTTTGACTTCAAAGTCCCCAGGGCCAGCTTGGCAGGAGGGGGATCCATCGGGGGGGACGGGCACGGGGGGGAAGCATCGACCTGGAATCGGCGACACATCGCCGATGGATCAGAGAGGGGCGCACGAGAGCGAATCGGCCACGTTCCAGGGCGGGGTAGGCCAGCGGGCTCCCATGGCGGTGATCAATGTGCGGGTGGGTCGACGCATCCCCCAGAGAACCTGTTCCCGCCTCTCGCTGCCCCTGATTGCATCTTGAGCCGCTGTTCAACGGTCCCCGGGCCCGGCCAGGGCCCCGTGAGACCAAAAACCGTGGAGAAACTCCGATTGCATGATTCGACGAACCAGGTTCGAGGCCTTCTCGGCGGCGAGCCCGGGGGGAAGCGAGAAGAGGCGGGCCCTGTCAGAAGGCTCGGAGGTCCCCGGCCGGGCCTTCGGAGAAGTTTCCGAAGCCGTACCCGAAGACACAGAAAAAACCTCTCAGCACACGCGAATGCTTCTGGGAAGCCCGGCCGCCTTCTGAGACGGCCATCTCTGCCTCAGTAGGATACCGATTTCTGACCACACCCACTTCCCGAGGTGCCCTGCGAAAAGCGGTTTCCAGAGGTGGAGGTGGGCAGTTTCCCCGCCCCAGGGGAAGGAAAAACTACCCACTTCCACCCCCGAGGGCCTATCAGGTGGATGTGGTCAGAAATCGGTCTTCGACTCAGCCCCCCCCCTCGCTCGCCGGCGATCTGCGTCTGTGTCTGGGGAGGCGCGGGGCAGGCGGCGGGAGGTGCGGGCGGCGAGGCCGGCCCAGGCTGCCGCAGCCGCAGCCGCTCGCACCGCCCGCCTCCCGGCCCTCCTGCCTGCCGCCGGGCGGCAGGAATCGGCCGAGAAGGAGAACGCCTCCTCTGAGGGCGGTGGGGCCCCTCAGAAGCCCTGGCGTGTGCGCCGAGAAATGTTCTGTGTCTTCGGGTACAGTCGGGGGCTTGACCTAAGGAACCCAAAATAAGGAACGAGGTCCCTTTTTTTCCATGAGTTAAACTTCGATGTCCGATCGAAAACATAAGGAAAACCTGAGGCAAGCTGCGAAACACTTAAGGAACGCGGAGCCCCTCCCCAACGAAAAGGGTTCCTTCTTCAGGGCCCCGACTGTACGGCTTACGAAGCTTCTCAGAAGGCCGGGGGACTTCCGAGCCTTCTGAGAGAAGGCCAGACCCTTCTCCCTTCCCCCCTGGCTCGCCGCCTCAGGGAGGGAAGGATGGTTGGCACGGCTGATGGACGAAATGTTACACCGTCGGGCCGTCTTCGGAGCCAGAGGAAGGCCCCGAGAGGGCCCCAAGACGACAAAGCTTCTGTGTATGAGATCGTTGGAGGGAAGAGCGCTCTTGGGCCCCTCTTTCAGAGCTCTCTTATGGCTGTATGGGGCCTTCATGGGCCGCTCTTGAGGCCAGAGGAGGGCGTGCGAGTTCCCTGGGGGCATCTCGGGCTGTTTGCGCACGCGTTCGGAACAATGATGATAATCGGTGCGACAACCGCGCTGTTTTGGAGGCCATGCGGGGCGCTACATCAAGCTGGCACCATTGCAGTAGAAAGTGTTTTCACACATGGGCACCTTCGGACTCAGAACCCACAAGGAGAGGCTAGCTCGATTTGGGATGCCAGCATTGGGGGGTCCCGGGGATGAAGGAGGGCGGGCGAACCCTCCCTTCGGGATTGGACTGGCCCGAAAGGGGCTGGCCAACAACGCGCTAGGCCACCAACTTCCTTGTAAATGCCACGGTATTCCTCTTGCCGCCAAGCCCGGGTTCAGTTAAAACTTGATACGAGGGCCCATCACAAAACACATGAGCTGGATGGTGACGCTTCCCCACAACGCATTGCATCCTGAGGTGTTCACCACAGTGCAGAAGCAGTGCGCGTGAAACACCGCTCTTCCATTCTGTGCGGTGTCGACCAGAGAAGCGGCAAGTCGGCCTGGTGCCACTCGGTTGGCCATATTCAGGGTGCATGCTACATCTTACGGCACCGCGTATGCTCACGCCGTCCTTTCCGAAGCCACACCAAACACACCATCGATACCAACACACGCGCACACGCAACACGCACGCATCGAGTACACCCTGCGAAATGCTTAAGAAATCATGGGTTAAGAAATTCATAGTCTCAGAACTTGGATAAAAAAACTCAACATTTCCATTGAAATCTTAGGATTCACATTGAAACGTTAAGAAAAATCGAGACTCTGGCCGAAAACTTGAGTTTTCTTAAGCATCGCCCAAGGTGTACACGGAGAAAAATGGCACTAACAAGCCACAACAGCAAGTCATCGCCTGCACGCGTTCGCATCCGTCCACGGTGGCGCCCCATCGCACTCGCCCAGAAGACTAAATGTATGCGACGGTGCCGGGCCCACGCCTCATCATGCGACATCAACGTCGATGTACACCCTGCGAAATGCTCAAGAAATCATGGGTTAAGAAATTCATAGTCTCAGAACTTGAACAAAAAACCCAGAATTCCTATCAAAATCTTGGGATTTACATTGAAACATTAAGGATAATCGAGACTCTGGCCGAAAATGGAAGTTTTCTTAAGCATCGCCTAAGGTGTACGCACGAAACCTCAAAACGCGCACACTCTGTCGCTCGCGCCCGTGTGCCCCTCGCCACGCTCGTGCACGAACAGCGCGCAACTCAAGAAACCGGCAGTGCCATCCCTGCGCAAGAGTGACCCACAATCGATGTCCTCCTCCTCGCCCTCCCATTCTGCCCCGAACGTGCGCGTGAGGCCCTGCATTGTTGCAACGAGTGCTGCAACGCTCGCTCGCCGACTCTCGCAACTTGACAGTACAACAACCAATCCTCGATTCGTCAAAACTCTTCCCAGAACCACCCCTCGTCGAGCTCGCCTGTTCGTTCGGTAAAGCGCTCGATACAAATTCGCCAGAATGGCAAACACGAATATGGGTGAAACAAGGACACACGAGATTTGCAACAAGAGATGCCCATGTGCGGCGAAAGCACCCTCCAAGGAGACAGGCAGAATCGCGAACTCGGTCGCGGGCGACGCCACATCCGCCAGAACCTCTACGCCGATCTGCAGGATCAGCACGCCGATGAAACCATCTGCATACTAGACTGATCGCAAGCCGTCGAATATGGCCGTATCGACAGCTACACCGAGGACCCTGGCGATCAAGATCGCTGCCCACTCAGCCAAGATGTCAGCGAGCAAAGTGGCAACATGCACATCCAGCACGCGCAGAGCCATGAAAGCCTGGCCCTTCCCACATAGTAATTGTAGAATCGCTTCGCTGTAAACACCACGCTGGTCCGCAACAAAATCTCGGCTACTGCAGCGCCGTCAAAGTAACGAGCATGTACGTGCTCTCCTCTGCCTGCAAGACTACGCGGGAGCTCGTGTGGTTCAGCCTGAAAGTCAAAAAAACAAGACCGTGCAAACAAATGGTTGCACTCTCGGCCATGTCTTGCTGCATGGAGGCCTTGATGCCAAACCAACCGCACCCTTGGTGCCACAAACCTCAGCAGGATCCCGAATCCCAACTACGATGCAGCCAGCGATGGTAAGCACGGTGCCAACTATACCGAGCACCCTGCTATACGGGCACGAGCGCAGAATTACGAGGCTGGCCATGGCGAAGATGTACCCACCTGCAACGACGATGAACAAAGGCGCATCGATGATCAACAGCAAAGACCTCAACTCCTGGCTGCCCCTGCGCCCGCCTTCGCAATCGGCGAATGCGATGTCGCTGCCTTCCTGCCGTGGCCGCGCAGGGGCGGCGGCGTGCGATGTGCAGAGACAAGCTGCCGCAGTGGTGCAAAAGAGCCCCGCATACGCTGAAAACATACGCGCACAACCCGCACAGAGAACGAGCCAAGCGGCTGTCTCTAAGCGGACTGCAGAGCGCCGACGAAACTTCGAGTGCGCTTGCCTCAATGCGTGCAGTCGCTGCTTGGAAATGAGCTCGCCCGAACCAGAATTGGCTTTGCCAATACCGTGATCGTGCAGAAGTATTTCAAAACATGGGGCGTGGTCGAAACAGCATTGTACACCATTGCCTCTTGGTCTGCATCGCCACGGCTACTGCTGCAGGGCACGAAAGCTCTGTCCACAGTGGGCGTCATGTATCTTCCAATCCCTCCCAATCGGCCCGCACTCTTGTCAGCTGCATTGTTTAGATGGCCGATGGTTGATTATGGTTCTGGCTCCCAGCCGACCTTGACCATGCCGTAACTGTGAACGAAGGAAGCCACTGTGCCACAGTGATGTTAGCACCTTGGGCCGCGTCTTGAACCAACATGGCCACGGACCCGGAGTTTCCATACTCGGATCACCGCGGCCGCTGGCCCCATTCTTCGGCTGCAGCCAAAAGCGCGCGGGAGCGGGAGACCAGAGCCTGCAATCACGCCTGCGTCTCGCCACCCTCCAACAAGACAAGAGAACGCCTGACTCCTCCCGCAAGCTAGAAGAACCGAAACACACATCACCAAAAACTTCACCAGGACGAAGCAAACGCCCTGGCAAGCAGACGCGCTCCGCCAGAAGGTGAAGACGTCTGCGGAGCATGTCGCACGGACACCGCTCCACCCGACGGACAGATCTTTCTGGGATGCCTCGTCCAGTGCGTAAGCTGCGCGGCGGGGTGCGCATCCAGACGGGTGATCATGCATATTCCTCACAGGCCTTCGCGTGACAGAAGAGCAAGCACTTACAGTCGGGGCGTTGACCTAAGGAACCCTAGATAAGGAACGAGGCCCCTGTTTTCCATAAGTGAACCTTCGATTCCCTGTCGAAAACATAAAGAAAGCCTGAGGCAAGCTGTGGAACACTTAAGGAACGCGGAGCCCCTCCCCAACGAAAAGGGTTCCTTCTTCAGGGCCCCGACTGTATCCGAAACACAACCTGACGCTTTCAATTGCAACACGTTGCAACTGCGAACGATAGGTGGTGGAAACATCCATGTGGAAAGCAACACGGACACATACGTGAGCAGCGGAAGCGCTTCCATGTGGACATCGGCAACGTCATCCACCAGGAGGGGGCGTGCCACACCACGGCACCATGCTTTTTGAGCAGGGGCTGACCGTCCTGGCATTCCTGTAGGCCTACCACGAGAAAGCTGCATACATAACCACCTGTAAAACCAAAGCCAATATCCTTCTTCGTCCTCTGGAACATAGGGCAAATATTAAAAGCACGAGGGTCTCGACCAGAATTGGTTTAACAGTTCGTGCAAACCACAAAAGGTTCTGAGAACATGTCTGCTGGGCCTATCAGGTCAGGACCCTTCACCACTGCTCGAGCCTCTGCCCACCCCCCACTTGGCGACTCCACCCTGCATGGATAACGCGACTTCTGGTAGCTTGTGCGGCTTTCAATAAAAAGCGGAAAACAAGAAGAACACCGGGTGGGGGGGGGCGACGGGCACACGCACGCCAAACTGCGCTGGTCTCCAGGGGCCGCCTGCATGTTGAAGGCCGCCTGGTTGCAAGCGTTCGCGTGGCCGTAGAATGTCTGCCCAGTGCGATTCTCTCGCCGCCCCCAGGGGCGTATGATCAGGGACCGAGGGTAGCCCCAAGAGCGAAAGGGTGGGACAAAGGGATCCAAGTCGTGGAGAGAGGGAAGGTAGCGGGGGAGGGGACGAATAGAGGGGTGATGGGAAAAAAACAAAAAATGGAGGGGATGATGGGTATCATGCCGTCCGACGAGTGGTGCGAAGAGAGGGCGGGGCGTAGTAGCGGCAATGGTGGTCGAGCAAACAACAACAAACACACGCATGGCAGAAACATCCCCGAGCCGTCTTGATACAGAACCCACACGGTGGCGAGGTTTGTCGCGGGCAGCTGCAAACCACACTGTGATAATACTATTGTGCAAGAGATGAAACGGACGTTGCGAGCGCGCTGCTCGCAGAGACTACCATTACTGCGCCTCCCCCAAGAAAGCGAATCGCAGAGATGCATCCGAATAGGATGGCGCGTTAACCTCAACATCATGCGACGGTTTTAGGACTGGACGCCTCTGAGAACGGCCAGCATTCCCCGTTCTCGCTCTAAGATGCTGCACAACCTGCTCAGCCTGCGCGGAATGCCGTCAATGGATCTGACAAACCCGCGTCAAAGAATGCACAACTGCCACCAACGATCAATCGACAACATGGCGCTGGCCACGCGCTCTGTGGGCTTTGTTGACAACTCCTAGGCAAGATCCGGCATGACACGGCATGAGCAAGCAAATGCGCAAATGCCCCCTCCCCTACCTGATTCCCTTGCCAGCCCGGCCTGGATGCAGAGGCCTGTACGCAAGTCCCACATGGAGATTGTCTTGTCACCTTGCCCGATAGCATGTTCATTCTAAATCTCCACTTATCATGCTTGGCCTGACCATACTCGTTCCACATCCTCTTCTTTGAATTGCCTGCGCAAACAATCACGTCCAATACCAATACACATCAGCCAATTGATCCTCAAGGATCTATGTACCGTCGCATCGCTAGTGAAGTGTTCTTACATTCCTTCGAGTTCGCAGCAGGCAAAGATGTAAGTCTGCCGCCGTCTTCAGCACGTAACGAAGTGCTCCCCCAAGGCTCACACAGATGTGAAGGTTACGAAGATTGCGTACTGCTGATGTAGGTAAGGCCCAGACCACCAACTTGACGGTATGTTCCAAAGCGCGCCTGGAAGCTTCTCGCTTCTGTCGCGTTGGCGTGCGGGGAGCCAAATCCTCTCAAACCCAACACCTCCCAACAGCCCACCAGACTTCAAGAATCGCTCAAAATGGCTCAGGATTAGAAAGCCAAAGACGGAGCAAGAAGCTCCCCAAAACGGCCCACGAGGACCCAAGGGTCTCCCAGAAGCTCCGAGACGCCCAAGAGGGGCCCATGTCGGCTCAGGATGGTTTCAAGACAACCAAAGAGCCCCGAACACGGCCCAACACGGTCCTCAAGGGGGCCTCCAGCAGATCAGCGCGACAGGCATTAGAAAGTCACGCACCCCAGGGGCGTTCAAGAGGCCCACACGAAACCCAGAAATGCCAAGCCGTTCCAGGATCTGGACGCGCACCGGGCGACGAGAGATGAACCACTGCAACCCTGTAGGTCTGTCTTCTTAACAAGTTTCCCCACGTGATGAGTGGGTTCTGGATTTCTTTCCACCCGCGTCGCACCTGCGTCTCACAGCAATCTCGCTCCTCCTCATCCTTCTCGCTCGTACACTGACCAGATATACGAACACATGCATGAGACACAAGTCCAAGTGCAGCCGCACACGCATCATACACAAACGCAATAATCACAAATGCAAATCTAGCAACTCACAACACGCAGGCTCTATGCGTGCCACTGCGAGACCTCCGCGTGCGTGCCGCTGAGACAAACGCACGCGCACACATCATACATACACACGTGTAGAGCCGCACACACTCTCACACACACACACACATCAGATCTAGCCATTCACATGACACGCGCACCACACAGCACACACGCAGGTCGTGGAAGGCGTGGCATGTTCGCAAGGCGTGGCAGGCGTGGCCCGCTCACAAAGCGTGGCAGGCGTGGCACTTCCTCGACACCACAAGATGTGCGTAGAGGGTGGGGGTGGTCCCTGAGGGCGGCCGATATCCGGGATAGTCGTCCACGGCATAGCAAGCGTGGCAGTTTCTCGACACCGTAGGGGATGCGCAGTGTGTGGTCCCTGAGCGCGGCCGCTACACGCGCTGGTCGTCCAGGGCATAGCAGGCGTGGCAGTTTCTCGACACCACAGGAGGTGCGCAAGGGGTGGTCCCTGAGCGCAGACGCTATGCGCGCTGATCGTCCAGGGCATAACAGGCGTGGCATTATTTCTCTTGTATCATCTCTCTTATGGAGACATCCTACTCTTTTGCCTGCCGCGCATGTTTCGTCGAGACGTCTGGTCGAAAGGCTGCGCTGCACGGCGCATTCGCCAAAACAATGTAGTGCGACCGTAAGTCTGTCTAAGGCGGCGTAGGGGGGCCCAGAGAGAAAAGAGAGAGAGAGAGAGGGAGGGAGGAGCTTCACGCCACGCCGCGTTGCGACTGTTGCTATCTTGCGTTTATGTTGGCACTATTCCAGGACATCACCATGGCCAGCTCGAACAAAGCAGGATGCAATATTAAACGACCTCGCAGGACCTAAATCAGATGTGTGGGGTTCCTCGGTCGCGTAAGTATGTTTTTAAGTCTTGACGGCGTGCAAGACAGCCCAACTGGTCCCGAAGATAGGCTTAAGAGGCACCACTAGGACAAGAAGGGGTGAAGGATAACAAGAACATCGAGAGATCGGAGGAGGAGAATCTGGAAGGTGAGAAGGACCCCTCATCCTCTCCTTTGGGCGCCTCCCTCCCTCTGCTCCGAGCCGGAACGAACGTCAGTCAGCCCGCCGGCCTGACGCCGTGAGCAGGGTGTTCGCGAACGGCTGAAACGTGACGTAGTTCACCTGTGAAAGAGACGATCGATCTGGCCATCGCAAAATCAACCTTGGCCACAACAACGTCGGTCGAGAAAATGACCCCCTTCGATGAAGGTGCAAATCCTCATCGAGATACCCGGGACGAAGAAAGTTCTAAGGTGCAGAGCTAAAGCACAAAGAACATATGGGCTCACCCCCACACCTTTCATTGCTCTTACCGCTGGTGCCAGCAAACCAGCTGTAAGCACGTCGTCCCTCCCGTACCCTTCCCTGCTGGGGTGTGCCGAAGGACGGGGCCAGGAAAATGGTGGTTGGCACATCATGGCCCATGGCCCGAGGCATGTGCGCGGACGAGGAGAGGGTGGGACAGTGGAGAGGGATGGCTGGAGAAGGCGGGGCAGGAATTCCTGGAGGTGTC